AATGCTTGTGGATTGATTGTTATTAACACTGAGTGAGACACAAAACAAAGAGATATACTTACCTCACACAGCAACTGCCCTACTTTAGGCCCTCAGTGCTTCTCAACTAGACATTGTAATAGCCTCCTAATAGGCCTTCCTTCATTCAGCTTCTCCCCTATCTAATCTATCCTTCCCCCAGCTGCCAAAGTAATATTCCCAAAGAATATGTCTGACCATGTCACTCCCTGCTGCTCCAGAAACTTTACTGGCCATAAAAACTCCTCTGTTCACCATTTAAACCCTTTGTGATCTGATCTGGCTTTAGTCTGTAGTACTCTCAAAGGCCCAGCCAAGCCAGCCTAGTTATATTACTGTTCCCTATGCACGATAATCCTTCTCCCACCTTCATGCCTTTGCAAAGGCTGTCCTGGACACCTAGGATGTTCTTCCTCTTTGGCTTTGGGTCTTCCAACTCCCAACGCCCTTCAAAGCTCAGCTACAGTGCCACCTTTAAGAGTGATGGCTCTGGTTATTAGTGTCCTCTCCACAGTAACTTTGTATTTAATTTGTATATATCTTGAATTTCCTTATCTTATCTAAAGTTATTTATTGAAGTTGTTGAATTTACTTATCTGACTATGCTATATTTTCCCAGTAGAATCAAAGGAACTTTAAAGTAGTGGCTGTCTGCTATTGTAGTTCTACCCCACCCTCACCTCCTTAGTAGACAGTGTCTGGAGTCAAGGTCAATGAACTTATCCCCAGCATTCAAAATTTCTTCATTTGTTGTAACCAATGGTTCCATAGATGGATGGCATGGTGCTGGCTGATACAGCACCTGCATTTTCTTGGTGTTAATTGTTAGGCCAAAATTAGCACAAGCGTCAGAGAATCTATCCATACTTTGTTGCATCTCACCCTCAAAGGCTGCATTAAGTACACCATCATCTGCCTAAAAGACTATTTTATGGAGAACTCACACAGGGCAAGAACTCACATGGTGGTCAGAAAAAGCAATACAAAGCCACTCTCAAGGTCTCTCTTAAGAACTTTGGAATTGATTGCATGACATGGAAGCAATGGCACAGGACTGCTCAGCATGGCGTGCCCTCATCAGAGAAGGTGCTGTGCTCCATGAGCAAAGCAGAATTGAAATAGCTCAAACTAAAGGCAAGATACGCAAATTTAGAGAATCCACCCCAAATGTTCATATGGACTATTTGTACCTGAACTGTGGTAGAGCATTCCTAGTTCATTTTGGTCTGATCAGCACAGTTGGACACACTGTTAACTTGACTCTAACATAGTGATGTCATTTTGGTCTTCTTTGAGAACAAAGGACAACCCTCCCCTCCCCCCCATAGTGTCTGGAGCAGCAAGGTCTTTAATAAATGTTTGTTTATTGCTTGATTGCCCTAAGGTGTTCACCAAGGCAATGGAAGATATCTCCTACAAAGCCCAAACCTAAGAATAACTTGCTTTCCAAATACTCCATTCACGTAAGCCAAATAATGCCCCAGACATGCCTCAGTGACATGATTAGTCCTTTCAGGGATAACAGCGCATCCATTTTTATATAAAAAACAAAACAAAACCAAAGTGGATGAAAAGTCTCTATTTTCTAGATCAGAGGTGTCAAACTCAAATAGAAATGGATCCCTGGCTGCCAAACTGCCTGGAAAATCACAAATTCACATCATGTATGCCGTACTGTAATTTTATTTATTTTTTTCAAACTTTTCCCAATTACACTTTAATTTGGTTTGGGCTGCACTGGGGGTTGGGGGTGAGGGTGGGGAGTTGTCACTTAGTGTTGGACTCCTCTGGTCTAGATTATACCAAGCAGCTGGACTGACAGTGTATTGAGTTTGCCCATCAGCAAATTCATATGCTGTGCATGTACATACATATTTACACATGCATATAACATAGATCTGGATGTTTGCAGATAGACAAAGTGCTGACTACAGAGTAGAATAAGTAGGATGATAAGATTAGCCTGTAATGTGCATTCGAGAAATGTACATGTGAAAGATTGATTCCAAGCAGCTTGCTGCCACAAAAGCCCCTCATATTTATGCCAATATTTTCTTGGTGATGCCATATGGTACAAGATGTCACAAGTGTCAAAATCAGCCTTAGTGGTACAGTGATGCCCCTGTGGCACAAAGAAAATTTATAGAAAGTCTTGGATGAGAAGATATAGATGAGTCATTGTTGTTCTGTGCCAATGGAGGAAGTAGCAAAGAGCAACCATAGTGTGGAGGGATTGAATCTTAGTTTTAAGTTTAAAGCTGCATTAAGACTTTTGGGACACCTTGTATGAAAATTGGACGTGCAAAACCTTTTCTGATTCTTTCACAAAATTCTGTTAAATTTTTATCACAAACTAGATCTGCCAGAATTTCAAGTTTTTCATCATTATAGCTACATATGGAACAAAATGACGCATATATTTAAAGCTTTCAAAGCATTAAAAGGAAATATTTCTAAAGGACTGAACAGTTCAGCTAAAGATAGCAGGTAGTAAATATTTCAGATTTGCTTTTATTATTTTAGTACAAAATATTTAAATCAACTTGATTTCCCAGTGTAAACCAGAGCGAAAGACTGATGATCTTTTATTATTTATTTAATATGTTTGGTGAAATAGAAATAAATGCTTAATTTTAAGTTGTTCCTATTTTCCTCCCTAGGAATAGCAACCTGTTGCTTTTTCAAAATTTATTTGTTCCTCAATTCAACTTCTCTCTTTAAGACCAAGATTAAGTATGTATCTAAGAAAGAGACTCCAGCATGATAGTAGAGTGATGTCAACAGGATCTCCTTCCATATGCAGCTGCTTAGGGGTGAGGTCATGAAATCAGCTGGTCTTGTTCATTTAAGTTTGTATTGTGGATGAATAAGCCAAAGCAGTCCCTGGGAACAGCCCACTGTGCCTGGGATAGTCAAAGCCTCTGCAAACCTTCCTGCTTTTTGTGTTCCCTGTGGGTCATCCACAGCTGTATTCCTAGAAAAGGAGAGCCACTGGAAAATGGGAGAGGAGAGATTATCTGTGTTTATCAAAGAAAAAGGTGCCTAACCCATTCACTCTGGCATTGCATGTGGAGATGGAGGCAATGTGTTCAATTTACAGGAAAGCTGGTTTAGGATAATCAAGCATTAAAATAATCTGGTCTCTTCAAGGCTGGGGCACAATGGAACAATAACAGCCTAGATTTAGAGTTGGAAGGGACCTTAGAGTCATCACATCCATGTTTTACGAAAAAGGAAACTGAGGCCCACATGAAGTAATTTGCCTAGGGTCACACAGCTAGTAAGTGTCTGAGGCAGAATTTGAACCCAGGGTCACTGACTCCAAATCCAGTTCTCCTTTTCACTGTTCCATGCTGTCTGTCACTTATGGTTTGCTAATACTCCTCAACCCACAGCTTCATGCTTAAAACTCATTATGGCACAATAATATCCCATGGTAGATGAAGTTGTGTAGGAAGGAACCTGGGGTGTCAGGTGAGGGAATTCATTCTCCCTTCACTGGTTGGGGCAGAGCATACTTCACATCCTATGCATAGCTGTGTTAAGGCCAAATATATTTCTTCATTTTTGACTGGCACGCCTGTGCCTCCCAGCCACCTTAATGAACACTAGGCACCACTTTGGGAGTTCTGGTCATTAAAGCTATGAGACTCAAACCATTAAGCTTCCGTGTTAATATTTTCACATTTCTGCCTTGCTGACTGCCTTATAAAAGACACATTCAGTCCAACTGTGTAAGCGAGAGCCTACAATGGTAGAGTGTGAAAAAATAGCAAGAATCAGTCATTAACTGGAATGACAGAGAAGGTCCAAGGGCAAGACAAAAATCCACATGGCACATTGCCCTCCAACACAACCAGAGGTGAAGAAACTTAATCTCACCATGACCCTGTCCAACATCTGAGGAGCAGAGTAGGCAGACATCCCTAAACTTGGCTGACCGAGAGGCCTGGCTTCAAAACCATGCAAATGAACATGGAATGATACAAGATGCTTGGAGATTTTTCAACATGCCTCCTTCAAGGCTCACATAGTGGGTAGCCTGGGATCTCTAAGCTCATCCTCACCCCTGAAAAGTCAAATGCACAAATGGGACTGAGGAGACTGGGAAAGAACAGCAATGGGAAATGACAAAGAACTTCACAACTGTTGTGTCTCTTGCTCCAAGAGTCTTCAACTGTGTGGGAGTCTAGAACACCTTTATTGCCTAATCCTTATCTGTAGGTGCTTACTCACTGAACAGTCATAAAGGTTTGATAAATTTGTTTATGTCAGGTGGATATTTTGCATGGCTTCCTTCCTCTCCCAAGGAAACAGAGAAACTGGGGGTGGAACTAATTAGGAAGAAGGCCCAAGAAGCATTGTTCACAAGGATCTCTTAGTAGGATTAATAGGATTTCAACCAGTAAAGGCAAAATTGGCCTTGCCTATATGGTGTAATGTTTTTTATTCAACACACTACTGCACATAATTGAAGGACATGGACAATCAAATATAAACTCTTCCTTCCCTCAAGCCCCGACCTTGCCCCTCAAAATAAAAGGAAGAGGGAGCCAAAAATCCCTCAGAAATTGTCTTCAGCTGAACATCCATAATCATTTCAATGTCAAGTAATTTTTAAATCCCTGAGGAAGCCAAGAAAGAGAAGATAAAGTGAGAAAAAGAAAGGGAAAGAGAAATCAAAAAAAGAAAAAGAAACAGAAAAAAAGAGGGAACAAAAGAGGAAAAGGAAGGATGTAAGGAAAAAAGAGATAAGAAAGAAAAAAGAGAAAAAGAAAGGAAGGAAAAAAGAAAGAAAAATAAAAGAAGAAAGAGAGAAAGAAAGAAGGAAATTGGGTTTAAAGGTTTAAGCTTACATGAATGGTATTTCCTGCCAGAATGCTTTCCTGTTTCAGGCAACCACAACATGGTGGTGTAACATCCGGACACAGCTGCATAACAGGCAACTTGTGCTCTTCAGACCACTTCTCTGTTCTACTCACCCTTCCTCTCCAACAAAGGTGACATAGAGCTTATTCCTCTGCAAGTCTTTTCTGGAATAGCCCATAATCTGATTAAAAGCATCTTCCAACAAATGGTCTCTTCTGATGATTAACCTGTACGTAATTATTTTAAAAACACAAATGGTTTCCATTACTTAGCCTAGAGTGAGACACAGAAGCATGTATAATAGGTATTTACATATGTATGTAAAATATATACACATATACCATTTGTATATATACTATGTTTCTCTACACAAAACCATATTCTTTTTTTTTTTAGGTTAACTTGATAATTAAAAGCACCACTTGGCTTATTTGCAAAAAAATAAAAAATAAAAAAATAACCAGCCATCTCTAACACGGCTGTGTTCTGTAATTTTTTTTAAAGTACATGTGAAAATACAAGCTGGTAGGCAGAGCAACCCGCCTATGATCTGGAGTCTACTGTGCACAGTGAAATGATTTTTTCCCCCAAGAATGAAATGCTTACCAAATACAGCACATAAAACTTTTGTTTAATAAAGGAATTACAACCCCATTAGGTAATGTTGTAGGTCTCACTGTACTTAGGCAAGGGATCTAGTTACTAAGTGCCTGAGGACATAACTTAGACAACAAGGAGAGAAGATATCCCTCCAAAAGAGGTTTACAATGATTCTTAATTTCTATTCTAAATTCGAACATCCATATCCCGGGCATTCACTAAGAGAAAGGCACAGCTGAGATATTTAAAAGTCTTGAATTAAGAATCTAGTAATAATAATAACTAGCATTTATAAAGTAACTACTATGCCTGGCACAGTGCTAAGTGCTTTACAAATATAATTTCATTTGATCCTCCCAGAAACCCTGGAATTTAGGTGTTATTATTATTCCCATCTTCCCACTGAGGAAACTGAGGCAGACAGAGGTTAAGTGACCACCTGCTGGAAGCACAATCGAAGTTATTGCTAAACACCTTTCTGATTACTCTTAAAGCAAATGACGACACTTGGAAGACTGTAAAGATGACAAAAGGGAAGTAATGGTGTGGTGTGGTGTGCTGTGCTGTGCTAGAGCATGTTGGACCTGGAGACAGGAAGACCACATCTTGCTCTTACTAACTGTGTGGCCCTGGGAAAGTCACTTAAGCTGGGTTTCAGTTTCGCCAGTGCTAACGCAGGATGGCAGGACCCATAGCATACCTTACAGGGCTGTTGTAAGGCTCAAATGAAATGACACACGTAAAAACATTCTGCAAAGTTTAAAGTCCTACACAAACATCAATTTTGGTCATAATGATGTGACCTAGAGTCAGAGGATAAGGGTTCAAATCCTGCCTCAGATACTTCTTGTGTGACCTTACCCAAGACTTTCCTGAACCTAGGTTTTCTCATCTGTAAAATGAGGTGATTGGACTGGATGGTCTCCGAGGTCCCTTCCAGCTCTAGGGCTATGATTCTATAAACCTCAGTACCTGAAGCATGGAACGGGTGAAGATGATAGTCTTTCTTCGTCTTTTTCCTAGTGATACAATGCTGAACTTCTTTGCATTGACTCTATTCAGTTACATTCAATTCAGTCATTTGTTAGGGGTCAACTATGTACTTCTTCCGTGGAGCTTTGCTAGACATTCTTGCTAAACAGCCCTTGTGGGTGGCCCTGGAAGTGGCTTCTGGCACAACCAATGACTGCCAAGGTCAATACAGTTCTCCCTTTCCTCTCCTTTGAAGAGGTCCCCACCAGGGATCACGGAGAGGCCACTGAGAGTGATGCAAGGATGGGAGCTCCCCCAGCAGCTGGAGTGTCTACATTCAGTGACAGCAGAGCTATCTGTAGGAATTGTGTACCAGTGTGGCCCCAGAATGAATTTGGGGGCACATGAAAACTAGGATTTTTTTTGAGTTATCAATCACTATCAAGTTAGATGATGATGAAATAACTAGAGATAGAACTAGAACAGACCTTTGAAGTCATCTGATCCAACTCTCTCACTTCACAGAGGAGAGAAAAGCTTCAGAGAAGTACTGTGGTTTCCCAAGTTCACACAGGTAGATAGTGGCAGAACTATGGTTCGAATCCAGGTCCTCTGACTACAATTTCAGTGTTCTTTCCACTGTATCATGACATCTCTCATATGCATGATAGGTGTAAGATTTGCTTTTATCTTTGCTAACCCCTCCAATGAATGTCCTAGGCTCCATACATTCTACCTCCCTGCTCTATGCCCACCACCAGTAATCTCTTCTGATTCTTACACATAAACAATGGAGTTTTTACTTGACTTCTGGATGAGTGATGGAGACGGGGGGGGGGGGCACATCTCCCAAAGCTTTTCTTCTCTCCTCTCATCAACCCCAGGTAGCTAAGAGGCAGCTGTAGTCAGACACAGTTTTTTTGGCCTTTATGTCCTTGCTTTCAATTGAGTGTAATGATGTTCTGGCCTGCCTGATGCTGACTAATGGCTTAGTTATCCAGTAATAGGAGAAGTAAAAAAGATGTTTCTAGCTTTCCTCTTCTCTAAGAATTCAGTGCAAAAGAAGGCCTATGGCAGCAGTCATGGGATGGAAGGCATGTACTGCTGCTTTGTCAGTTCCTGAGGCAGGATGATTATATTTGGAGAGAGTCCTGAATTTGGAATCAGAATTACCTGGACCTGTGTCCTGGTTCTGCCACTGAGTAAGATGTGTTACCCTGGGAAAGTTAATTAGTACTCTGAGCCTCATCTATAAAATAGGGATGATAATATATACCTTCCTTATTCTTACAGGCTTTTGGTGAGGATCAAATGAGATTATAGATGTGAAAATGCTTTGTAAAGTGCTATATAAATGTGAGAATTATGAATTATATTAGAATTATGGAGTATCTCTTGCTACTTTGTAAGCAGCTGGGAAAGAATTTGGGATTGGAGAGAAATGAGACTTCCTTCTGGGGCCAAGAAGTCTTTAAATGGGGCTGTGGTCCAGAACTCTGACCTTGAACTCTAACCAGAAGCTACTTCCAATATCATTGGTTCATTTGGATGGTTGAAAGTGCCCAACATCAACAGGAAAATTCCCTTCCTTTGGCAATCTCAAATGATATAATGATAACTGCCCCCTACGTATACCCTCAAAATAGAGGGGGGAGGGGGAAACTCATTCTTGGCACAACCATATGGTTGTGCTGGTAGTCCCAAATATGAAGGAAGTTGTATATAGATAGGGAGCAATAACATTCTTTAATCACTTAGGATATTTAAAGATCTCTTTGTAAATTGTAAGGTTCTCTACAAATGTGAGCTATTATTATTTTTTATTGTGTGGGAAGACATGAAGATGAAAGTTATTAATGCTTATGGACGAACTTGGATAATAGTAAAATTTAATTCATGACATGTTGAAAGGCATCTGGAGCATACATTGTGTGAGCTATTGAGAAAAGATGTTTTAAGAAGAGAAAAAATTACGGTTCTCTCCCCAACTGTAAGCTGGTTTTTGTTTTTGTTTTTGAGGTTTTTTTTTTTTGGTAACACAGTGACTGGTGGTATTTCAAAGCAATAAAACAAAACAAAAAAAATGCTTACAATTGAATGGCACTTATTCTCAGAATTAAGTTGATTATATAATGTTCTCATTCAATGATGCCAGGACACCAATAAAGAGTAAGACAAAGCCTGGTCATATTCATTCAGAATCAATTTAGTGATTTCCCAAACAGGTCATTCTTTGATCATCTACAAATCTGATTCCACAGATCACAGTTACTTACTTTAACTTCCCTGGCCCTTGGCCATATCCTTTAGTTTCCAACTTCCTGTAGAAGTTCCGTAGTTTGGCTTCAAAATCTCGTTTGTAAGGGGCGGGAGCTCGAGCATTGGCACGCTGTGTACCTGTAGTAAAGGACATAAAGAGGATGAACTGGAATTGCACAGTCTTGGTAACCAGCACAGTGAAAACTCTTCCCAGAAGTCATCATTTTTAAAAGGACTGCTATGGTTTTAAGACCAAAATTATAAAGTAAAGCCAATAGCATATTTAACAGGTCCTTTTAATCTCTTTTAAAGTTGAAGGCATAATTAAACTTAACAGAGCTCTCAAGTGATGCTTTCTCTTCAAAATATGTCATTATGTCAATGTTAGTCAATAATTATCAACTCCAAATTTTAATAGACAAAACAGTAAGAATCTGTTAATGAAATATGTTCTTTTCTTTAGCCCAAACCAACATGAGTCAGACAAGTAACTCAGCTCCAGTGGGCCACTGTTCAGTATGTGGAATCTCTCAGCTTGATGCTGGGATGATATAATGGTAACTTGACAGGGAATTACAGTGTGAAAGAATGTGGGACAACAGGCCAAGAATAATGGATTTTCTTTTCATAATTCTCCCTTAACTCCCCCATAAAATCAACTTCTGTCAGACATGCCCCATTACAAAAAGTGAATTCAGACACATAATTACATAAGAAAAAGCAAAACACTTTATAGGGTAAAACTTAATCCTGACATAAAACCAGGAACTGACATTACTGCCAAGGACACTACTTCTGGGTGGGAAAATAGCACAGGGGTGTTAAATATCATCCAAAGGTATGTAAGCATTGCTGATGACCAGTATAAGGGGCCCTTCCTATATCCTTTTTATGAGAAGCTTGTTTAGTGTCACAAGGATGACTGACAAGCTGGGACACAAAACTGAGAGGGAATGTGGATGTCAGACCTTGAGTTTTGAAAAAGACGTGGATATTTCCACTACAAAAAATGAAACCTCCCGCAAAATGAATAAAACAAAAAAGACACGTACCTTTCAGATAGACAATAGGAAGGAAGGAAAGAAGGAAACATATTTACTAAAAGCCTGCTCCATGCCAGGCACCGTGCTAAGCACTTTACAAGTATTACCTCATTTGGTATTCGCAACAATCCTGGGAGGTAGGTGATATCCCCATCTGACAGTTGAGGAAACTGAGGCAGACAGAGGACAAGTGACTTGCCCAAGGTGACACAGCTAGTAAGTGTTTAAGGCTATATCTGAACTCAAGTTTCCTTGACTTCAGGTACAGCTCTCTATCTACTTTGCCACCTACCTGCCTCTACTAATAATTCAACAACAAATATATATTGAATGAACAAATCAATTAACAAGTGTTTATTGAGTGACTAGCACTCTGCTGGGCAGTATGGAGTGTGCTAAAGTATGGGACAGTATTGTTCCTTAAGAAGCTGACATTGTAGCCAGGGAAGTGTGACTAATATGCGTGAAAACATCAGAGAATAAATACATGAATAGTGCCCAGAACTAGGGAAGTGATCGATAGTCCTGCTGTTCTCGGCCTTGAAGAGTATCTAGGGCACCGTATTTGGTTTGGGGAGCCACATTTTGGGAAGGCTATTGATCAATTAACTGACAAGCATTTCTTCAGTGCCTTCTTTGTGTCAGGCCTGTGGTAAGCTGGATGGTATCCTGATGAGGGGCAAACAGGACCACACCAGGCCTTGAGATTGTGCCATGAGCAATGGATAATCAGCCTGGAGAATTTTCTTCAAGTGGATGAAGGGAGCTCATGTTTGCTTGGCCCCCAAAAGCAGAGTTGGGGGGGAGGGGAAAGCTACAAAGAAGAAAACGTAGGCTTGATATTAGAAATAAAATTCCCAAATAATTAGAGCTGTCCAAAAATGGAACAGGGACAGCTAGGTGATATAGTTGATAGAGCACTGGGCCTGGAGTCAGAGAGAACTGATTTCAAATACAACCTCAGACACTTACTAGCTGCGTGACCCTGGGCAAATCACTTAACCTCTGTTTGCCTCAGTTTCCTCATTTGCAAAATGGGGATAATAATAGTACCAACCTCCCAGGGATATTGTAAGAACCAAATGAGGTAATAAATGTAAAGTACTTAGCACAGTGCCTGGCACATAGTAAGTCTCCATAAATGTTATTTAGCTATTATCATTATAATTATTTCTCAATGGTGGTCTTCACACAGTGAGTAGATTACCACCAGTCATGTATGTTGTAGAAGGGATTCTTATTCTAGTACAGGTTAGACCAGATGACATCTGAAGTCCTTTCCAACTCTGTGTTACAGGAAGTGGGAGCTACAGAGGGGAGAGGGATTAGAGATCAATAAGCCCTGGAGTAGTTGAGTAAAGTTTCATAAAGACCAATGGTTTGTAAACTTTGTTTTGGCTCATGACTTCTTTGCTTAACCAGTATTTTTTTTTTTTGCCTCTTAGTGAGGCAATCAGGGTTAAGCGACTTGCCCAGGTCACACAGCTAATAAGTGTAATGTGTCTGAGGCTGGATTTGAACTCGGGTCCTCCTGACTTCAAGGCCAGTGCTCCATCCACTGTGCCACCTAGTTGCCCCTCATGACTTCTTTGTTGTGAAGAATTACAACACATCATGGGAGAGACTGGAGATTTCAGCATGCCCATGTGACAGCAAAAGCTGGTTCCATACAACTTGTGGTAGACTGCACAAGCACAGGTGTTCGTAACTTTAAGGTCCATGCATTTCACTGCACACCTAGAAAAACCTGCAGCAGTCAACAGACATTTATTATTTACTATGTTGCCAGGTGCTGTGCTATGTGCAGGGGATTGTTATTGTTACTGATGCTTCATTTTCGGAGAAGACATCACTGGGTAATGTTGTATGTGAGAATGAGATTTAAGTGAGGCAGAGCTGCACAAAATCGTCAGCCTCACTCTCTCTTCCAGACTCATCAAAATCCAGGGGCAAGGCAAAAAGCAGAACGACTGGCGATGGTACCAGGATGCAATGGACAACCTTGGCACGTTTTGTGTATGACCAAGCTCTAAGCACTTCACAGAGCCTGCTTCGGCCACCTTCATGGCGCTTGGAATATTGTTCTCATCTACTCATTCCACCAGTAGAAGTCTTCACATGCTTGGGGTAGATATCCCCTAACTCACTGATGGGTTTGAGGCCTATCAGTTACCTCCAACATGGTTTAGCTATTCTGCCAAGACAGTATTACTGGGGTATGGCTGCTGCACATGCTACAGCATCTTGGAGTCATAGGTGAGAGATGGGTAAAGGTGGACACCAAAGGTGGATGAGCTCACACCAGAGGTGCTAGGCCTCCCTGGACACTCGTTAGACACCAACTGATACAAAGAAAGGCAAAAACATACTCCCTGCCCTCAAGGAGTTCACATTCTAATGGCATACATTTGAGAAGTACACATAGAGAAAAAGAGCCTAAATTTGGGTCTTGAAGAATTAGGAGAATCTAGATAATTGGAATGGAGGAAAGAAAGGCTGGTGGAGAGGGGTGCTGGGGAGAAACTACAAGAGCTGAAGTGGGGAGGTAGGAATGAACACACCCTGTGCTGTGAGCAGTGAGGTGCCTCACATGAATGAAGTAGATATTTCATAGCATGGAATAGTAGGAAAATAAGATAAATAGGTAGAAATGAGCCAGATTGTTAAGGGCTCTAGGCCTTAAAAGTCAGGGAGATGCTTTTGGTTTTAATATTGTAGATAGCAGGGAACCCTTATAGCCAGAGATAAAACCAAACCCCACCCCCTCTCCTTCCAAAACCAAAACAAAACAAAAATTAAAAAAAAAAACTTCATCTAAGGCAAACAGTGGTGGCATTGGAGGGGTGGGAGAGAGGAGCTTCACTTGGGGAGTGTTATGAGTGAAAGAAAACTTGTGTTTTTGCACTGCTTGTGGCTAGCTGCTTCACCAAAGGGGGAAAAGCAACAACAGAATCTAAGCAACAAGATGCTTTACACCCTGATACCTTTGTCTGGTGAGACCACCTTTGGAATAAATCAGAAACACCAATCAAAAGTGTAATCTAGGTGCAAACAAGTCCTTATTCATTTTGGAAGGAGTTAAGTCAAGTCATTGGATGAAATCAGACAACAAAATATATTGAAGCTGGTTTAAAGAATTAGACATGCCTCTGTGCTTAGGCATATCACCAAAGGTGATATCAACAGAAGGCAATTCATCTTGGGGAGCATTTTGAGGAAGTAGACCATTGCACCTATAATCAAAGACTATTGAGAGGAGGGGGAATGAGCCCAAAGAGACTCCCTCACTTCCTCCTTGAACTGTCCCCAGCTGCTCATACCATCAGAGAAATTGGACTGGCAACAATGTATATGGCTGGAACTGAGAGAGGAAAAGCTAGTGCTTCCATTTTTACCTCTGTTTTACACATGGAAGTTTAAATCAGTTGCCCAAACCCACACAGCAAACTCTCCCAGAGAGCTTAAGACATTCTCTCAGGTTTGTTCAGAGAAACATAAGGTGGGATTCCAACCCAGATTTCCAGGCTCCAAGTCTGTCTCTCTATTGATTATCCCTTCCTGACATAATAGGGTAGCTGGGGGGGAAAAGTCAGTTTCAGGGGAAAGATGGTAAGTTCAGCTTTGGGCTTGTTGAGTATGTAGTGATGATGGGACATCCATGTGGAAATGTCTGATAGCTATTTGGACATACGAAACTGGAATAGATGCCTAGGAATAGAGAGGAGGAACCCCACAAAGGGCAGAGTATAGAGATATAGGGATGTTATAGTCATAGGACTAGAGGTAAAAGAGGAGCCAGCTCACAGTATTGAAGAGAATGAAATGGAACCCTTGTAATAGCTAACAGCATCAAATACATGACAAATGTACTCTTCTCCTTTTCCCTATCATCTGAGACAGTTAAAGGGAAGTGTGAAATGCCGTGATCAATACGGAGTTCATAAAATGAACTTAAGCTCCACTTTTATGCTAGGCAAAACAGATCTCATTTTGGAGGCTCTGGGGATGGAAACTTTTCAAGTCCACAAATACCTTTGCAAATGGTTCTATTGTGGAAATATAAAAAATCACTCATGCATGATTTCACGGTTAAAA